TAATATTATATTGTTAATCTTACAATGCTACAACTTTAAGGTTACACCATTTCCTGGTAATATTCCGTCTTAAATCTTGCAATGCTGCAACTTTAATCTGCTAACGTTGTGACGTTGTACGTGGTAATATTAGATTTCAATCTTGTGATGTTACGATTTTAATCGTGTAACATTTCAAATTTCGTCTTGTAGTTTTATGACTTTATTCTTATGATGTAACAACTTTAATCCCACTATTATGACTATATTAAAATATTTTAAACTCATTTAAATATATATATATATATCTTTATATGGCACAAATAATTTGTTGTTACTATACAAATTTTTTAGTCCTCTTTATTTAAAATGTTTTTTAGTTGCCATTTATTTGTATTATGAATCCTCTACTGATCAATAACCCTTTTCTGCAGAAGCCATGTCAGTAGCAAAGGTTGACTACGTTTTTGGTTCCATCTTTTACTGTAATAATAAATAAGGATAATTTGAGGTTAGATCTAAATCTGCCATGCTCTCATTTTTACGCTTTCCATTTTTTTGGGGGGGGAAGCAAACCCCATCTGTCTGTGTCACACCAGCTAATTGCACATCTAATGTCTAATGCTTTTATTTTTTAAATTATATAGGATTAAGTTAAACCTCTTAGATTTTATATTAGGGTTTTCCTTTTATTAAAAGCCCAAGAAGTGACTCCAGTCTCCACATAATGAGAGTGTCCTCACCCAGCTGCTGAGTCGGATGGATATTCTGCACATCGTCTCCGTTAATGTTGACCAGGATGATCTGGGTGGTGCAGTTAGACAGGCCAGGGTCCAGGCAGGTCACTGCAGTCACAATATGTACACCTTCAGATACTGAGACCCTTTTCTGATTAACCTCTGACCCTCTGTGTTCCTCGCATGAGATAAGGGAACTGATGCAATCAAACTGTGATACCTGGAGTGACTCCGACTACCTCCCCTTTGTAGCCAGTTTCTTCCTTCAGCTCCCGCAGCGCGGCCGCCTCTGCCGTTTCTCCTTCGTCGATCAGTCCTTAACACGTTAAAGTCCAAACTTTACCACACAGATTTATCAGAATCTAAAAGGTTAATCCAGAAGAAAAGCTGCTCTGACCTGCTGGGAACTCCAGGGTGTAGCATCCCAGAGGAGGACGGAACTGCTTCACCATCACCACGCAGTCTTTATGCAGCGTTCGCTTCAGCAGCGCGATGATCCCGACGCCTGCAAAAACCTCCAAGCTCTGAGCAGCTAGGAAACCATCAACCCACCCAACCAACCAGCCAGCCAGTACTCACCATCTGCTTCTGTATTGGTCCTTCTGGTGGTCCGCTTCACAGTCTCCCAGGTTCTTGTTGAAACAAACATCAGAGGGAAAAAACACTATGAGTGGCTGATTTATTTATTCCAGCATATATGAGAGAAAGTGTAACCGTACCTGGTGTTTCCTGCAGGATCCACGTACGTGGTTTGTTCCAGCTTCACCCATTTCCCTTCTGCCAAGAGCTGGAACAACAGATCGGATGCAGAGTTTAGTTTTCTAAAACAGCGAAACAAATTTTGCTATTTTGAAATATTTCAGGTACCAAAAAAACCCAGAGAAAAAATGTGAAATTTGAAGAAAACACTGCTGCTTTGTCTCGTTTTAAACAGAAGCATCTGTTAAACACCTCAGTTTAAACATTTTGATTAGTCTGAGATAATCAATCAAATAAATGTTGACCCTCTTGTTAAATAAAAAACAAAAACAAACGTGTGGCTGATTAAATCAAATACTAATCAGGGTCCCTGTCAATCTATAAGCCAAGTTTGAGTTAACATGATTATATATGCAAAAGGTTATATGGTAATTTTGATCTAGTACTGGAAAAAATTATCTTTCTTTTAAAGTTTTCAAAAATTTCTGGTTATAATCTGAACTCATTGCAGGAGGTGGAAAACAAAAGGACCCTAACTAAATTAAGATCTCTGTTGGATAATGTCTTCCATCCCGTGCATGAAGCTGTTCAGAACTGGAGAGCTCCTTCAGTGACAGACTGCTGCACCCTAAATGCACCAGGGAGCGTTATCACAGATCCTTCCTCCCAGCAGCTGGAAGACTCTATAATCATCACTGTTCCCAACAACCTCAATAGGTTGTTACATTCATGCTGATTTTGCTGATATCGGCTTAGACTTCTGGAGGACATAGGGACCCCATTTCATCATTCTATCTCTTTTCTCCCACTCTGCAGAATCTGTCAGTTCAATCTCTAACGTTCTGCTCTCTCTGCTTTTTCTCAAAGTAGCTTCATTTGGTCTGTTCCTGTTTGGCTGTGACTCCATCCTGGAGAGAAATATCAGCTGTGTTGCTGCCATCAACACCTTTGTTTATAGATGTTGGAGATCAACCTGTTTTCCAGTGTAGTCCTGTTTCTCTGATTGTGACTGCCTGGATATGTCTGACATGGGAGTTGGCCCAGATGTTGTCTGCCTGGTTGTGGGCCCCCTTTCAAAGTTTTTTTTTTTTTTATCTCTGCTGCTGTTTTCTTGAACCCCAGTCGGCCTCAGCAGATGGCCGCTCACACTGAGCCTGGTTCTGCTGAAGGTTTCTTCCTGTTAAAAGAGTGTTTTTTCCTTCCAATGTCGCTACAAGCATGCTTAGTGTGAGGGATTGCCTTTGAGTCACTGACTCAAAGGCAATCAACTGGTTTTCCTTAGACAGAAAACTTTGAATCAAATTGACTGAAAAGTGCTTTGAGATGATATGTGTTGTGAATTGGTGCTATAGAAATAAACTGCAATTGAATTTTGCAGTTTTTACCTTAGTCAGTTAAATAACATGCCTCATTTTCCACACCTCTGATGTTGCTGCTATTTTCAAATATCCATTACTTTAAAAATGTTCATAGCTGTATATTGGTTACTTTTTCTCCAGGTGCACAATATTTATATTTTTAAAACATGTTACAGTACAGCATTGTATTGTTTATCTTTTAAATCTTCACTATTATGCTAGTTTTATACACTGTTCTAAGGTCCACATTTGTGCGACCCTTTTTTCTATATTTTTGCTGCTCTAACATCAGAATGTCCCCATTGTGGAACAATAAAGGGATTTTCTATTCTATTCTAATTTCTTGACGTCATGTGATGTTATCAAAAAAAAAGAAAAAATCACGACGCTAATATTTGCTAATAACAACTTATTACCTCTTTAAAGTAATTTTTAAGTATTTATTTATAAAAGAAAACCCCACAAACCTCCTCTTTGAGTATGTGTGATGTTGTGGTCACTTTGGGGTCCTCAGGTTTGCTCATTTTAAATGAAAATGTAGGAATGTCCAGTCAGAAAGCCTGTACAAAAAAAAAAAAAAAAAAAAAAAAGAAAACAAAGAAAGAAAACACCGTTAATATATCATTTAAATGATATAGTTTTAAAGTCATTGGTTACTTATGAAAGTTTAAAAATTGTTTCAGCTAGCTGCAACAAGACAATAGAAAACTATAAATGTTCTCCCTGTTCACATTAATCCGCTTCAGATGGATTTTCTGTCTGATAAACAGAACATGTGCGATCTGTAGTCGATGGCGGCAAGAGTTTAAGGCTTTTTATTTTATATTAAGCATTTTACGTTTTTCTTTCAATTAAGAGAAACTAAACTTGACTCACGTGAAATCCCAGCCGTGCCTAACAAACAGCAGAGAGGGTAAAATGCTATAGATGACTCACTCTGACACCACTTCCTGTTGAAGGCAAACGTCATCGGTCTTTTCTTTATTTTTCGAAATTTAAGTAAAAAAAACAACAAAAAAACAAGTAGTACAAAAAAAAATATTATGTATATTTTTTTGACAGAACTTTTATGGTTAAAATATACACTGACCAATAAAATAGGATTAAACATTTATTTTATTATATTACAAAAAATGTATTGTATTTACAAGCATTTGATCATTTCATCCATTTTTCCATGTTACATTAATCATCCATGTTAAATTAAAAAATATATTCTGAATAAAATTTAAACAGTTTGATAGTGATTTCGTTTCTTTTTCTTTTTCTTTTTTTAAAATAAAACTATGTTTTTTTTTTATTTAAAAACAATTCCCCTCACAATTATTTTAAAAACATTGAGTTTTCATGTAAGATGCTGCTTCTGTAAAAATTTAAAGATTATCAATTAGTGACAGTTAACCCAAACCTCATACAATTTTAATTAGATATAATGTAGAAATGGATAAACAGCGGAATAGTGCAAAACAGAAGATGTGCTTAAATTAAATATATTTTCAGCCTTATGAAATATTGCATTGGATTGACCTCTTTAGCTGAAATGGTTTACCATATTCCAGTGTTTATAGTAACCAAAAGCCAGTTGTAAGAACAAGTTTTAAAGGAAAGCTCATTATTAAAGCTCTCATTCATGGATCAGTAGACAAACCATAGTTGTTGGACAAATATTTGTCAATAAAGTGTTATCTAAGGCAGCATTGGTTGGATAGGGGACACGGGATCACCTCCAACCACACCAGCATGCTGCAGCCTTTACTATGCTTCAGTGTGGGGATTTTGGTGTTGGTTTGTGAAGCTGTCATTTGTGTAACAAATAATAAAAAAAAGATTTAAAAAAAAAATGTGGCCTCTAACGTATTTCTAGGAATTAGTTTATTAATCCCATTCACGGTTTATTACTTATGCCAAAATCCGGAAGAAATGCTTAGGCGGGAAAGGACAACAAACTACGAGAAAACTACCATTTAATAAAACGCTTCAAAGGAAATTCTAACCTAAATAAACGATCTATGTAACAAAACACGCCCTTTGTGCATCTCAAAGATGTCTCCCTCCGTAAAAAGCCAAACATTATCCTTATTGAAAACCACACAAAACACAAGTACTAGATAAATAAGAGCTAAATTTGAATTACATAAATTAAAACAGCTCTAACTGGTGCTTCTCTACTGAACCAAAATACTTTCGGATATGTTTTATTTATTTTTATTTTTTTGTTGATCCGGACGTTATTTGGTGACGGACATGCTTCCTCTCCGGAAGTTGCAGCATGAAGAAAGAGCAAGTTGCACACTGTCAGTTCTCGGTTTGGTATCCGATATTTAAGAAACACACAATTAAAAGGTAAACAAACACGTTGAAATTGGAAAAGGAACAGTAGAAGTTTATTATATCACGTCGAAGTGTGTTTGCATAGTTGTTAAGGGCTAGCATTAGCAACAATGCTAATACAGTAGACTCAGTTACATCTTCTGTTTTTGTTTGTTTTACTGAAATGTTTTCTAAAGTTAAGTTCATATTCCATCGTATTTTTTTATGATCCCCGAGTGATGTGTGTCTTTTTTCCAGTCTGATCCTGCCACTGCCTCAGAATGTAATAGACTATTTACTGGACGATGGGACGTTGGTAGTCTCTGGAAGGTATGACATCACGCTAAACAGGAATCAGGGCGGCTATTGGTTTTATTAACAACGATGCTGAGCATTAATCGGTATAATTTTGACATGACAGCATCCATCATGTGGAGAATATGGTTGCCCAGCAACAAGCAAAGAAGGCGTTTTGTAGATGGGGGGGAAATAAGGGAATAACAACTTGAAAGATAAAACGCAATCCAGAAATGAAGCTGAAATGAAAATTTCTTACCTGTTCTACAATTTATTTATTTTGCGTTATTCAGTTTTATTATATTTTTTTTTATTGTTTTACAGACTTAATATTTATTGGGGTATATTTGTTGAGTTTTCTTTTCCAAGTTTAGTTAAAGTGTTTTTGTTGTTGATTTCACTTTGTATATTTTTTGGTATCATTATTATTTTAATTTGAATTTACAAAACTTGCTCTTTGTTCCCAACAATAATGAAACAAAATTCACTTCATGTCATTATAGATAAAGAATCCTAACCAAATAATAATAATAATGCTGCTATTACACTATTCCGCCCACCGATATATGACGTCCCGAGTCAAGGTCAGCAGCACACCACCCCCACTATAAATAATGTTGGTACTGCACTGCTTCCCCCTCCTGAGACACCGGATTGCGGAAGTCGTACGGAAGTCTTTCTCCATGGCCTCTCCGAACTCTTCCCACGCCTGAGTTTTTGCCTCAGCGACCAGCCGAGCCACCTGCCGCTTTGACTGCTGACACACATCAGCTGCTTCTGGAGTCCCACAGCTCAATAAAGCCCTGATCGCTCATTTGGATCAGAATGGACCAAAATATAAAACCCATTCTGCAAACTTTTCTTTGAAATCGCTCTGAAATTGTAATCGGCTGATTTTCAGTTTTCTTCTGTAAAAACATCTGATCTGAAAGGTGTTAGCAGGAGCTATTGATGATGATATACGGTTCATGCATATTGAAAAACGGGTCTGATTGTTCAGTTTTGAGATCAGTCACTAAGGCTAGGTTTCAATCCAATTTTTTTGCCCATTTCTGATCTTTTCATGGCAGTCTGAACAACACAGATCCATTTTTTTTCCCACTGCGACCCAGGCCACTTGGCTATGTGGTCCTAAATCCAATACGTATCTGATCTCTTTCAATGCGACCTGTGTCTGTACAGCTAAGTCACATTCATCTGATCTGTACGCAGTTAAAACTCGACAAAGGTCACTGTTCCGGGGCTTACTACCCAGGAGTGAACGCTGGCGTGGATGTCGCCGCTGCTCACCGCTGCACAGCAATCCCGACGGCGGTCTCCTGTTAACAGCCGACCTGTCCGCGGCCTACCTGTCTATAGCCCACCGGCCCATCCGTCAACAATCGACCATCATCAGCTGACCGGCCACTGGCCCACCTACCTACAGCCGACCCGCCACCGGCCCACCTGTATACAGCCGACCCATCAGCCCACCAGCCACTGGCCCACCTACCTACAGCCGACCGGCCCTCCTGCCGACAACCGACCCGTCAGCCGACCGGCCACCGCTCCACCTGTTTCCAGCCAACTGGTCAACGACATACCTGAGGATCCCTGGCCCTCCAGCCCTTCTTCCGTATTGGATGATGTGGATCCTCCGGTCGCTGTGGTGGTTTACGCTCGGCTGCCTTCTGGTGTCACTTGCCCAACTGCAAGCTGACGCTCTGTTCCAGTACTCCGTTGTTGAACTTCTGAAGCTCCGACGCCATGTCGACGTCCTCCAGCCTCCACATGGTTGCTCCATCCCCTCCGACATCGCCTTTCAGCCCAACCGGAGATACATCCACCGTGGATCGCGTGGTAAGCGCTTTCATAGGAACCCCGATCCCTCCATACAGACTCTGCTCACCACGCGCCGCCGCCCTCGTCACGCTCGCCGGGGTGCTAATCCGGCCTCCCTGGCTAGCTTACCCAGGGTGGCTAACCCCGCCCCCAAACTTAACTCTGCCACCGTCAGTCTCGGTCTCTTGAACATCCGCTCACTCAGTAATAAGGGGCTTTTAATCAGAGACGCCATTGCGGATCATAATCTTGATTTTTTATGTTTGACAGAGACCTGGCAGCTTCCTAATGATTTTATCTCTCTTAACGAATCTGCACCACCTGGCTTTGTTTACGTTTGTCTGCCTCGTTCGTCTGGACGCGGCGGAGGTCTCGCATTGTTTCATCGCGAGAGTTGGAAGGTTGTCCCAATTCCTGCTGCTCCTGTTTTTTGTTCTTTTGAATATTCCGCCTCACTGCTGCCTGGACCCTCTCCCACAGTTATCACCACCGTCTACCGTCCTCCTAAATATAATAAGGATTTTTTGACTGACTTTTCTCAGCTCCTCACACATCTCTCAACCCTCTCCCATAATCTGATTATTTTGGGAGATTTCAACATTCACATGGATAATATCAGTGCTCCTCTCTCCAGAGACTTCTCATCCTGCCTGGAAAGCTTCGGTCTACATCAATACATCAACTTCCCAACTCACTGTAAAAATCATATTCTAGATTTAGTCTGTTGTTCTGGCATCACCCCCTCTGACTGTAAATCCCATACTGTTGCTTTTTCCGATCACATGCTCATTACTTTTAACGTTAAGCTCCCCCTGTCTAAAACCACCCTCCCTCGCATCATCTCCTTCCGGAATGTAAAGGACATCAACATTGACGCCTTCACCTCTGACATCAGTAATATCCCCAGTGTATCCGCCTGCTGCTCACCTGATGAACTGGTTTCCCACTACAATCAAAATCTCCATACTCTCCTGGACATCCATGCTCCTCTGAAATCTAGATCAGTCTCCTTCACTCACTCAGCTCCCTGGTTCACTCCTGCTCTCCGTCACCTCAAATCTCGCGGTCGTCAGCTGGAACGCCTTGCCAATAAAACTGGACTCACCATTCACAAAAATATGTACAAGGATCACATTGCACTGTACAAGACTTCCCTCTCCTCTGCCAAATCTGCATATTACTCTAACTTAATCCACTCCAACCGCCACAACTCCAAAACTCTCTTTTCCCTTCTCACTTCCATCACCAAACCTCCCGACTCCCTTCCCTATCATATGCAATCCGATGACTTCTGCAATAACCTTATGTCCTTTTTCGTCTCCAAAATCACAAATATCCATAAACACCTGACCTCTTCTGGAGCTGCAGCTCCTGGAGGCGACCCGGCTACCCCCTACCCATCTTTTGCAACCACCCTCTCCAGTTTTGACCTTCCATCTGTTCAAGCCATTTCTGACTTCATTCATAAATCCAAACCTTCCACATGTCAGCTCGATCCTCTCCCGTCCACTCTGGTTAAATCCTGCTGCTCTTCATTTGCTCCTCTCATCACCAAAATCATCCACTCTTCCTTAAGCTCTGGTTCAGTCCCCTCTGCACTCAAAACCGCTACAGTCACCCCAATTCTGAAAAAACCTGGCCTGGACCCCACCGACTTCAATAACTTACGTCCCATATCCAATCTACCCTTCATATCCAAAATTCTGGAAAAATCTGTTGCCTCCCAACTCCACAACCACCTGATGTCCAATAATATTTACGAACAGTTTCAATCTGGCTTCCGTCCTCTGCACAGTACTGAAACAGCACTCATCAAGATCTGACGACCTCCTTATGGCTTCTGACTCTGGACTACTTTCCATCCTCATTCTCCTGGACCTCACAGCAGCCTTCGACACCATCTCCCATGCCACTCTCCTCAGTCGACTATCATCCATCGGTATCAGCCGCACCCCTCTAACCTGGTTCACTTCATACCTCTCAGATAGGATACAGTTCATACAACTCAAATCTCATAAGTCCATCTACTTCCCTGTTTCTGCTGGTGTGCCCCAAGGTTCTGTCCTGGGGCCCCTCCTGTTTATTATCTACATCCTCCCTCTTGGCTACATCCTCCGTAAGCATCATATCAAATTCCACTGCTACGCGGACGACACCCAGCTCTACCTTTCTACTCAGCCATCTGCCTCACTCCCACCAATCTCCCTCACCCTCTGTCTCCAAGAAATCCATTCTTGGTTCTCATCCAACTTCCTCAAATTGAATAGCTCTAAAACCGAAGTCCTCCTAGTAGGCACACCTCACACTCTCTCCAAAGCTAATAACTTCTCGATTACCATCAATGATTCAACTGTCCTCCCCTCCCCTCAGGTTAAGAGTCTGGGTGTCGTCCTCGACAGCACCCTCTCCTTCCAGTCCCACATTAACAACATCACCCGGTCTGCCTACTTCCATCTGCGTAACATCTCTCGTCTCCGTCCCTCCCTCACTCCCCAAACTACCGCCATTCTTGTTCACAGTCTCATCACTTCACGCATCGATTACTGTAACTCACTTCTTTTTGGCCTTCCAAACAAGTCCCTCCAGAAACTACAGCTCCTCCAAAACTCTGCAGCACGCCTGATCACTCGGACCCCCATTTCTCATCATATCACTCCCATCCTGCAACAACTCCACTGGCTCCCCATCAAACAAAGAATCATCTTCAAACTCCTCCTAACTACATTCAAGGCCCTTCACAGCTTGGCTCCATCTTACATCTCAGATCTCCTTCACGTTAAAACTCCCACCCGCTCCCTAAGATCCTCCCACTCCTTCCAGCTCTCCGTTCCCTCGGCCCGTCTGGTCACAATGGGGAACCGGGCATTTAGTCGCTCTGCTCCCCACCTCTGGAACTCCCTCCCTCCGGATCTCCGTACTCTGGACTCCTTCCCTCTTTTCAAATCCAGACTCAAAACTTTCCTGTTCAGACAGTCCTATCCCATCTAGTTCCTACGCATCACTTCAATATTGTTCTCTTCCTTTTCTTCCTTTGGTTTTATTTTACTTTCTGCTGTTTTGTTTTCTGTGGCATCTTATGCTTGTACTTTTTAGCTCCCTGTTTTTAATGTTTTTATCTGCCTGTACAGTGTCCTTGGGTGTTGTGATAAGGCGCTTTCAAATAAAATGTATTATTATTATTATTATTATAGGAGCAGCGAGAAAAACATCAACACCCATGGTCGATGTTAATGCGGAAAGCAGTCTTTATTTTCAACCATCCTGGAAGGATTGTGTGGTTAGTGAGGTTGGGAAAGATCACTAGATGCGCACCAGCTCTACCATCCATGTTTACTTCTGTAAACACAGAGCACGCTTACTTGTGACATCATTGCATCCTCTACTGCGCATGCGGGACACTTAAGTTGTGTGAACTGTGTTCACACAGGAGATCACATACAAGTTGCATATATTTGGAAATGTGAACAGCAATGCAAAAGAATTTCACAAAAAATCGTAATTGAATATTAATGCCTGCAGTGTGATTGAAGCCTTAGTGATCAGAGTAGGGCTGAAACAATTAATCGGATTAATCCGGATCAACCTATTGAAATAATTGTCAAACAATTTAGTAATGAATCAATCATTAACTTGAGTGTAGAGACTAAAACATGCATTTAACTGACAGAGACAACCTAGGACAGAAATGGCCTTTCTCTCCAGCTTATTCTGTCTCTTTCTGTCCCGCTCTGCGCTGCCAGGGGCCCAGCAGACCACAGCGTAGAGAAGGGCTGATGCCACCTGTTGAGTGGCGGTATCTACGCAGTATTGATGCATTTTAACATTGTGTGGAAACGCTTCACGACGTCTCATGAACCGATCACTACTTTGTGTTACGGATCAGGCCTGCCTGAGGTCTCACTCGATTACCACGTTTGCAGATGACGTTGTGTCGTGTGGCGAGAGCAGGGGGCAGGTGCAGGCGTCCGATGCAGAGTCAAATAAAAATGTGTCAAAGAAAGAGGGTAACTAGTGGAACAGTGCCGGGTTCTGGACGCTTTGTTTGCAGGTCTATCTGCTTCATCCCTTTATAACAGGAACTCTTTCTGTTGTCTTCCTAGTGATCACAACTCTCAGCCGATACAATCCAACAACAGCGACTCGGATGCTGAGGAAGACATCCAGGTAAGAAAAGAAGTTGTTGCTACGGTAGTTTTCGGCTGTGCATTGTCAATTATGAGATCTTGGAGCACTGAGGAGTTTCTACTTATTGACTTATTGAGTTTAACTGTTTTCTGTTTGATTTCAATAAGTATCGTCATCATATGAACTCAGAGGTTGTTTTTATTTAATGGAAAGAAGTTTAAAAAGACATTAAAATGGCAGCATTGAATAATCAAAGTGACAGAATGTCAAAGTGGCTTATTAGAGGGAGGTGTTGGTTATTAAAGGCTCAGATTAGGATTTTTGTTCACTTTGTGCTGCAGGTTTCAATATGTTTCAATCATGGCTGAGAAAAAGACATTAAAGAAGATTTTCTCAGCCAATTAAAACCCTTTAAAAGTAAAAAAGTTAGCATCTCCAAAACCAGAGAAGAATCCATTTTTCTCCCAACAGAATGGCTGAATAAGGGAAAAGCTTAGATGTTTCAGTTGGCTCCCCCTGCTGGACGGTTGTAGTATTAAGAAAGACGTTAGACTACAAAGTCTGGTTTGGTGGCCCAAAAAATGAGCAATTAAAAACGAAAAAAAAAAACAAAATAAAAACTTGTAAATAGAATATAAGATGTTTGTTTTGTTGTTGTTGTTTTATTGTGTGAATTTGAGACGCCTGCCAATCCAGGCTCATTTTTGCTGCATTTAAATCTTCCTTTTTAGATTTATCTATTCAAAGTCTCAATTTAGATTTTATTTTATCTAAATATCAGCACCACAGCAAGATGCTGCCACCACCGTGTTTCCACTTAGTAGTGAAATCCTGATCTAAGCCGTAAGACCCGCTAAAGAAATGCAAAAAAATTTCATTTTACTGTTGGATCTTAAGAAGGTTCTAAGTAGAGCTTTAAAAAAAAGAATAAATGGGAACAAGGGACCAAAAGTTATGAGCAGAGAAGACAACAGCCTTTAAAAGGCAAAAACTGATTCAAATTTTGGATAAAATGTAATTTCCTTTTAACTAATCATACTGTGAATATATCCTTATGGCAAAAAGGATTTATTCTTCACTGCTTTAGAATCTTCACTTGGAGCAACATTATCACTAACCTTTTGGAAACGCTAACATAAACCAAAAAAAGGAATTCATGAATCGTTCTACTGTCTTTTTTTTTTTAAATAAAGTTTTTTTCTTGTTTTTTTTTCTTCATTTTGTTTAAATTAATTATAAAACGACTTCTTTGCTCCTCTACTCCCCTCTAGTGGTCGGACGATGAGACGACAGCCACAGCCACTGTGAGTAAATGATCGAAGGCGTGTTTTCTCATGGCTGATGCTCATTGGCCATTTTATTAGGTACACCCGTTCTGTGACTTGTTGACACCAACTTCCAATCAGAGTTTCAGTAGCTGCTGATGTGCTGAGGTTTGTTTTTACATACAAGCTGTCTGATTAATGGAGCTTAAATAACAGAGCACCTTTAAAAACAGCAGAACGGCATATTTGATCGTAGACGGGAAAATTATGGAGTGAGTTTTGTTCCAATGTTGTTCTAAAGAGGACATTTTGTAAGTGGAATTTAAAAAAAATGCAAAAATTGAACTTTTGGGTAAAAAAAAATGTTTTGAGAGAAACTTTGCTGTTTTCACAGATTTTATTTTTTCAAAAAAAATTTTTATATATATTTTTGCCTTACAATTTTTTTTTTTCTGATTTATGTTGTTTTTAATTTTATTTTTCAAAGTTCTGTTTTTCACATTGAGTTTATATGAGCCGCATTCTTTTCAAAGTAGATTCTATGAATCACATTCTGTCCACCTCTGGGGGCGGGCTTTCCTCTGGAGTGAGGAGGGACGAGGCATGTCTATTGGTCGAGAGTATAATGCAAAAAAAAATTAAGGTTTGAAAAATAAAATCTTAAAAATTTTAATAAAATACCAAAAATGAAAAACAAATTACAATCAAATATGAGAAAACAGGAAAATTACTCTAAATTTTTTTTATATTATTAAAAGTCTTTCAAACTTTCATGTCTTGAATGCGTTTTTTCTTTTTAAATCTCCATATAGCAAATTTGTTTTTTGCAGCAATAATGAAACAGATTTCACTCCATAACATAACGCCATCATGTCAGTCTGCACATTTAACACCTCACAGAAATCATACTGAAGAAAAAAATGATCTCAAAACAGAAGAATTTGGAAGTTAAACCCATTGAAAGCCAGCTGTACCTAATAAAGCGGCCGTTAAGTGTATATTCTGTGTTTTATGTCGACCAGGCGCCTGAATTCCCAGAATTCACCTCTATGGTGGAGGAAGCCATAAGCGCCCTTGGTGGGCGTGTCTTCCCCAAACTCAACTGGAGCGCTCCGCGGGTAAATCACCTCGACATGTCACACAGCTGTGATCTTTAGCAGCGTTTTAACGCGGTTTCCTTTGACAGGACGCTAACTGGATCGCTCTGAACAGCTCGCTGCAGTGCTGCAGCCTCAGCGACATTTTCCTGCTCTTCAAAAGCTCCGACTTCGTCACCCACGACCTCACTCAGCCGTAAGCTGCACTCTGACACCCAGAAACTGCCAGAAGAGGGATTTTCTGTTCTGCTTAAGAAACATATTTAACCCACCTCTGCTAAATCCAGGCATCTAAGTGGCTTGATGCGATTTGTTCTATAGATTCCTTCAATGCAGCGACCAAGACTCTCCAGATCCTGTCATCTGTTATGAGGTATTTTACTCTTTATTTAGAAATATGTTCTCTTTTTAATTAATTCATATTTAGGCTTATTTAATGCATCAAACATTTAGAGAAATAAAAGCAGGATGTTTAAAATAGAACTGCACTTAATGCAGTTTTCTGGCTGATCAACAATTTTAAGGTATTTTATGTTTTAATGAAAAACATGACAATAGAAACTGGTTTTAACTGGATATCTAGAATAGGGCGAAAACAATCAGATTAATCGTAATTAATTACTGAAATAATTATCAACTAATTTAGTTATCAGTTAAGCAAAAGGGCTTGAAATAAAGAGAATGTGATCTGATTTTAAAAAATCAATTTGAAAACTAAAACTGAAAAAAAAACCGAAATAAAAAATCTATAAAGATGAAAGTTTTTGAAAAAATAACCTTTGAAAATATAAAATCTGTAAACAAATGAAATATAAAAACTAATTTAAAAAATGTATTTGTACAAAATATAAAAAAATATAAAAATTACTTAAAAAATGTTCTTTAAATAAAACTCCTGGATTGGATTTTGCCCAGCGTCGGTGCTTTCTCAGGGGTTAGATTTACAAGGAAGTCCTGCCGAATCTGACAGAATCTGGATGAACCAAAGTAGACTCTTTTTCTCAGAGTTTCTGGGGCTTTAAAAGAAATGACGGTCTCCCCAAGGCGATTCAAAAGTTGTTTAAAGAGAACAATTTAGCAGCAGTCATGTTAAGTTCCACCTGTGCTTTTATTGTGAAATGCCAACAGCAAGACATTGAGAGGAAATGACATGGTGTTACCACGGGTAATGGCAGGTCAAAAGCAGAGGGTTTGGAAGGCTGGTGATTTACTAAATATTAAACAATCATTCGCTAACGCCTGCTAGGATGGTGACACCATTGGCCGTAAATAGAAATAATTCTATCATTAAAACCAAATCAGAAGTAGTGCTGAAAAGTAGGCTAGATCATTTAGCATGCTGTCGCTACAAGCATGCTTAGTGTGAGGGATTGCATCCGCGTCAATGAGTCGATGCAATTAACTGGTTTTCCTTAGATAGAAAACTTTTAATCATCTGACTGTAACAAAGCCTTGTTATTGCTAAGAGAACATGCAAATTGAACAGAAACAACAGGTCCACCCCTTAGGAATAGCACAGCAATAGAGTTGATCCTTGCCGCTATCATCTCAGCCCCCATCGCTATGCAGGGGACCAAAAACATGTGGCCTTGTCAGCCAGGCCAACAGTGACCCTAACGACTCCCCTATCAGAAGCATAGGCCAGTATCCGGTATTAACAATCCGGCTAACAAAGACTTCAATGACCTGTTCTTCCGGTTAACGGTTTAACATGGGATATTTATTTTTTATGTAGCTGCTGTTTTTGTTTGTGGAGCGTTAGGAGGTCGGTCACATGGTGTTTGTTAGGTCAGGTGATAGCGGTTGTGACAGCATAGTATTGTGAGTGTTTAACTGAAGCAGAGAAGCGATGTCAGCACTGTGGTGGTTTTTTTAAGGTGACCAATGGGTACATCAAAAGAAAATAACGTCCATAACAACTTGTCTGATATCAATATTCTCCCAGATCTTTTTTTAATTTGTCCTTTAAAGCAGTTAAAAAAAAAATTATGTTTTGGTAACTTTTGGCTCCTCCCAGTGGACAAAAGCTGTATTGTTTTGCCTGAAGGAAGACACTATTTCCCATGAGGAGCAGCACATAGAGTAGTAAAATCCTGATCTCCTGGTCGCCTGCAGTTGGATTGAAATACATTTCTGTGTCCAGTGGCTGAATAGTGATGAGGTAACAGATCGGACTGTGACGAAACAATGTCATATGATGTCTTATTCAGGGTGTTCAGATACGCTGCTACTTCATTTTGACGATTCTGTTTTGTTTTAATGAAACTTCCTCTACTGTGTTTGTTTGTTTCCTAATAAATAGAGCAGCTGGTTTGGTTTAATTAGCAGAGCAATCTGGCCTGTCCCTGTTAGCGCACCCATGTGAACTGAGCTGCAAAGGAGAAGACTAGGAGGATTTTTAGAATTAAATTGGTTAAAGATTTGAAAATATATAAAAATAAAACAATTCACATCTAAAATAAATACATTTTATTATAGATATATTGTAATTGTTCCAACAGTTAAACTAACTTTAATTTAATTCAATTTAATTTAAAAATTCTTTATTAATTCTCAAAGGGAAATCAAATAATAACAAAAAAAAAATAATAATAATAAAACTGTAGATGTTAAAATAAAGTGAATTACTAAAATAAATAAAAGGTTGATATTTCTTAGCTGCTGACCTGAATCAGAGTTTTCGATTGGAGAAAATTACATTTTTTCTGAGGAACTTGAACGTAGCACGAGGTTTTGCATCAAACCATAGACAGCAGCTGGTTTGATGAGCTGCATTCACTGATTGAAACTACTGGGTATATGTCCTGGATGCTAACAGTTTAGCGTTTTAGATTCTAACCGTCTCTGCTGTCTTTGTGTTCTCAGCTGGTGCTGAGGAAGTGGAGCGAGCTGATTCCAGGTGGAGAGTTTCGCTGCTTCGTCAAAGAAAACAAGCTGATTGGTAAAAAACATTTTAACCTTATTATATGAAGCAACCAAAAGACCTAATGGAAGCATCTGATTGTTTATGAAGAATATGAGTACCTAAGTAATATGAGAATAGCAGGGTTTGATGTGAGGCACACAGGCCGGATAAAAATGGAGCCATGGACTAATTATTGAAGCAATTATAAAATCCAATTTGAGCTCGACTCATTCGCCCGTCTGCCTGCTCTCGCAGCAATCTCCCAGAGGGATTACACGCAGTACTACCAGCACATCCTGAAGCAGGAGGAGCAGATCTCCCAGGACATCCAGGACTTCTTCAGCCAGCACGTCCAGTACAACTTCCTGGACGAAGACTGTGAGCCGCAGCTCTGCTTGTTAATGCCGAGAAGAGATTAATGTTAAATAATCTCACGCTGGTTTCTGTTTTTTCATTCGCAGTCGTGTTTGACGTGTACAGAGACTGTCAGGTAACTCATTTACCTGTTTTTACATCAATATTTCCGCATTTTTCATGATAAAACTTTCAAACTCTATTTCTCTATAAACTTCTCTATTAGATTGGGGGTGTTAAAGTTATCTAGATCCTGTTAACTAGAATTCTTCATCTCATCTGATAAAAATATGATTCCTACTATAAAAAGATTGTTTTGGTTAGGATAAAAAATGTCTGTCTTACACTGAAAAATTTAAAACTAAGTAGGAAAATCTGAAACCAAAGCAATTTTGGATTCTAGAATAGTTTCAGTGTTTTTAACTTTCAAAATATTTTCTCTTATATATCTGATTTTCTTTTCAAATTTCAAAATTATTTTTCAAATTTAAAAATATTTTCTTTCCAAAACTACTCTTATATCTATATTAATTGTTTGTCTTAAAGTTTTTTAATTTCAAAATAAATGTTCAATTTGTATTATTCACATAGACCTTTTTTTTTTTTTTTTTATAGGTTTTTTTTTATTTCTTTTCATATTTAAATAATTTTTGTATCAAATTTGTTTTTCACTTGTTTGTTTTAAAAAAAAATTTCAGTTGGTTTACTTTTCAGGTTTTTTTTTTCAGTTTCAAAATTTCTTTTCAGTTTAAACTTTTATTTTTAAACGTAATATTACCTAAAGTTTAAATCTGTTTTTTTTTGTCTTAAAATTACTTTTTTTAATTGTAATTCTTTTTTTAGTTGTAAATGTTTTACAAAACATTTTTTACAGCTTAAAAAGAGAAAAATGTTTTTTTTTATTTTCTAATCAAAATTTATGGCCCTAGTTTAACTCCGTACATATCACCCTGAGCGCAGAGTCATGGCGGAACATGGTGTTGGCAGCATCATGCTGTTTGGGATTTTTCTTTCTCTTCCAGCAGTATAAAAACCCTCAAATCAAACCAGGGCTACAACATTTCCTGCCGTGTATTAAGTGGCCTAGTCAAAGTCTAGAACTGAATTGACTTTACCTGCTGATCGAGCCCTATAGTTCATGAATGTTTACAAGTCCTTAATCAGGATGCTTCTTAGAGCGGCTTTAATTGTTCGGTTTTCTTTTCTTAGGGGAGGGTTTGGCTCATCGACCTGAACCCTTTTGGAGAGGTGACCGACTCGCTGCTGTTCAGCTGGGAGGAGCTGATGTCTGGTGGGGAAATCCCCCATCAGCAGCAGGTAAGCAAACATCGAGCCTTCATCCATACCCAGCGCTCTCCTTCCCAACCATTAGAGATATCGTCTGATGCGCAGGAGGGTCCGGCGTTCCGCTACACTACGAGCGAGGTGACGGTGCAGCCCAGTCCCTGTCTGAGCTACAGGATCCCCCGGGACTTCGTAGACCTCTCAAATGGAGAGGACGCCTACAAGCTCATCGACTTCCTGAAGCTGGTAGGTGCCGATGTTGGCTAGGAAACGTTTTATTCATCGTCATGGTGATCATTTAAAACAATCTCGTGATAAAAAGATGCCAGCAATAGGGATGGGAATTATTTAGGATTATTGAATAAAAATAAATAAATGTTTCTAAATCAAAATTTCATTTTTAAATTAAACAAAAGGGTAAAAAAACTAATCTGTTTTTAAATAAAACAGACTAAAGCTAATAAATGTAAAAACATCCAGGTCAGAGTCATTCCAAAAAAGTTCAAAAACAATCCACTGGACTTTGTTGCAAACAAATAAATAAGTCGCCTTATACATGTAAATCTGTTCATAATGGTTCTCTTTAATTGTTTATAAACATGAAAATTATATTTTGTGTAATGTAAATTAGGGCTGAAAAATTTACTGGATTAATCAATTATTGAAATAATCGTCAACTAATTAAGTAATTGATTAATCGTTAACTGGAGTAAAGAGACTTTAAAATATGTAAAATATATACACTTTGAGCAGTAATTAAAGAAGAATTAAAAAACGTGAACATTTTGCATTTAAGATCATATTGATTTGTCTGTCAGATCATAATGATCGACAAAATGTTTTCTCTATCCAGAACTTCAGTTGAAAAGTTTTAGTTTTACATGGTTTAATTGTTTCTATCCGAATATTAATCGAAGAATTGAACAAAAATAATATTCGCAAAATTAATAATTATAGTCATTAATTGCAGCCCTAAAATAAATATAATGATGTATCAAATGATTTTATTAATTTAAGTGAGAAAAATGTGGATCTCTGAACCTAAACAGCAGAGAGGTTCCACAGATTCACACGGTGCTCTGGCTGCTCTGCAAAAAGAAAGAAAAGGATAAAATGTTGCCTTTCTTAATCACTGATACTATTTCAGGATATATGGAGGACCAGCTCTACCATATTTAAAGATAAATACAATAAACAAATAAATGTAGGTAGAAATTAAATTATACAGTGACGCATAAATATATGAATCTCTTTTAAATAGCTTCTTTATTTATTCGCCTTTGTAATATTACCTAATTTATTTATTGTCCATTATAATCTTCAAATATTTTTAATTACATATTATCTTAAGTATTTATTTATGTGCATGTTATAATATTTTTGTTTTATTCTTCCTTTGTATTTTTTTACCCTATTTATTACTTCAATGCTATTTATTTCTGCCTGTCATTTTTACACTTCTGTATGCATTTCTGCCTCATTATGCAAATGAGGAAGGGCTGTGTCTATTTCAGCTAATTAAAAGAGATGTATACATTTATGTCTCACTGTATAATTAAATTTCTACCTTCGAAGGGTGTTCAATAAGTAATTCCCCTGATCCTCTTCCAGATGTTTGATCGAGCTGAAATTTTGCATGTGGCGTTATTTAAATCTATAGATTAAATAGCAAATTACAGATCTGAACTAATTGTGGTTTCTGATTTACTGGTGTTAAAACTGATTTAAGTCTGGGTTTTTGCAATTGAAAGGACGCACACAACGGGAGACTTTTGATGAAAATAAAGTAACTAATGGTGATGATGCCCGTTATATGACCTTGCAAAATGTTTCACATGGTTATATTATTGGACATTATCACTATAAGTTACTTTCATTTTATCAAAAGTCTCCCGTTGTGAGTTCAGCTGTAAGTTTTATGGTTCTGGAGGCAAAGACTGATAAATAATTTTCCACATTTTCATCTTCCTGTTGGATTATGATGCATCTGTAGCAGAATAAGGACATTTGCCAAAGTTATTGTTTTAAAAGACACTGATGTTTAATCAAACATATTCATCCATTTACAACTATAACATTTTTTAAAATGTTTTTACCATAAAACCGACTTAAGAGTGATTTATTTTAATTTTAAATTGGTATTGGAGAGTAGATTGTGAGCAACAACAGCTGAGTTTGTTTATTAAATAAAGCCTGCTTGCACACCCAGCACCCAGCAGGTAATTAGCTGCTCCCAGCTCATAAAGATGAGACTATAAGAGGACAACACAAAAGAAAAATAAATATATTCTCTATTAATTTGCTTTTCAGATATATTGAATTTAGTATGACGTACTATAGAAAATAAATTGGAACTCAATTTTTCTAATGAAAATCGAAATAAATTGTTTGATGTATTTTTATTGTTGGTTTTAAGTACAAAAAGAAACAGCGGATTCATTGATTCAATATGGTCCAGAAAAACACATGCTATTGGTTTGATTGATTTACAGTTTGTTAGATTTTATTTTATGTGCTGCACCGATGTTCTTGTGTGCTGAGAATGTGCGAGCATCTTAGAGGGAACGTTATCTGTGTTACTTTACTGATTGGATTGGTTCAGACGCTTCGCCTGACGATAAAGCTTAATTAAAATGTTTTTATTGTTCTGCTTGCAGAAGAAAAGCCAGCAAGAGGAATCTGAAGAGGAGGAAGTAGAGGAAAATCCTCCACAGTGATGTCTGCCATCTGTTTTCCTCAGCTCATGCTGTTCTTCTCACACGTCGGTCAGAAGCAAGCCCTCTGCTCTAAAGCAGGACTTATAATTAATATTAGAGCATCATGCTGCCGACTCCTGATGATCCGATTCTTCTGTCCGGTTCTTATAGTCCTGAGCAGAGCTGATTGGAGGACGTTACGCTCCGTAGATATCGCCTGCTTCTGTATAGTGATGTCATTTCTTCTATCAGTTCTGGAGGGTTGGATAGAAGAAAAAAAACAAATTAAACGCAGGCTTCTCGAAATATTTAAGTGTTTTTGTTTTTATTTGCATCCAAACAAGTAAAATTAACCTTTTACTCTTTTCATGTGTTTCCTTTCTTTCATCTCTCAGCTCGGCTCTTGGATCTACCGGTACTAGGATTTCTGGGGTCGTTTTTATGTCGACTTTTAGTTAATCAAAGACGGTGGACGTCATGAGGTAGAGCTGGTCTGATTCTGCCACAGCAGAGATTTCCCCAATCATGACACCTCCTCGTCCGTGCTTATCGTTTTGGGTTCACACCTGGAAATTTTTTTTTTACTTTAAACCAACTTAAAAAAAAAAAAAATTAAAAAAACTAATTTCTTGCAGCTTAATTTCTCAGTTTTACTCTGATTTGATTCAAACTGATAATTCTCATTTAAATTAATTAAAAGATCTAATATTCTGAACCACTATTGTACATTTAGTTCAATTTTAATAACGTAACTCTGCAGCCTTGCTCACGCCGTCGTAACGCTGGCCTCACATTTACGCAGGTGACTTTTGATTTGACACCATTACCTTTGATTCGATGTAGATATTTAGTTGGCAGCTATTTGGTTGAATTCATTTGTTTTCCATCGGAAGATATTGTTAATTCTAACAAGTATTAATATAAGAAAATATAAGACTCTATAAGAAAAGCTAAAGGAAGATTTCAGGGCTTTCAGTGGGCGCTGTTCTAGTCTCCAAATACTAACATCTGTCCAGAGAACCTGGTCTTCCTCCAACCACAAACATTCCCTGTTAGTCAGACTTTGATCCATCCATTAATACAGAAAGCATCCCGGAGGAAAGAGGGATCAATATCCTGTCTTGTGTTGAATAAGAAAAATAAAATAAATAATCAAGGAGAACATGTTAAAGCTTCTTTTATATTTCAGATCTGAAGTGAATCTATAGAGAGAATTTTGTTCCATTATTGTTGCAGGCAAAATACATGCTTTGTAAAAAAGAAATTTGTAAAAACTCATTTTTTTGTAATTTGATATTTAACAGAGGAAATTTGAAAAATCTTCTAGTCAAAAAATAATTCGAGTGTTTTGTTTTTAAATACCCGATTTATTTTTACCATTTGCAGTTATTTTGAAAATGTCATAGATCCCATTCTCCTCACTTCATTGGTCCTGCAGACCAATAGAAATGGTTCCTCTCTCCTCACTCTAGAGCAGCGGTCCCCAACCTTTTTTGCACCACGGACCGCTATATGTCAGACAATATTTACACGGACCGGGGGGGGGGGGGGCAACTTCACAAAGATAGATATATATGTATATATATTTTATATATATTATATAAAAAATGTTTTTTGTTTTTTTTTTCTGTGCGGCCTGGTACCAAATGACCGGTGGTTGGGGACCACTACTCTAGAGAAAAGCCTGCCCCCAGAAAGAGAATGCAAGCTGGAAAACATATTCTGAAAAGAATGGAGTGGTAAAACTCATTCTGTCATTTGAAAAGAAGACATCAAAGTCTATTAATTTAGTTTTTATAAAAAAAAAATTCTAAAAATTTGAAAAGAAGCTATCAAAAGCTCTGGCAGACTATCCAGGGTGTACCTTTTCTCTCACCCATTGACAACTTGGAAAAGCTCCAGAATAGGCGGTGACCATATGGGATAGATGGATGTTTTGTCTGATATTGTATTATGTGATCTTGTGTTGTTTTGTCTTCCTGCCTCAGGACGACAGATGTAAATTAGCAACTATAGTGTAATCTAGCTCATTTACAATCTGTACAGAAGTATAAGATTGTTCATTAATGTGCTCTGTCCTGATTAAATAAATAAGAAAATAAATAAAAAATAAAATAAATGGATGGAAGGAAGGACATCAAAATCTATTAAAATATATTTTTTTTGATATAAAAAAAAAAATACATGAGAAAAATATTCTCAAAACCTTTTGATTGCAATCTTTTTCAAAGTTTTGTTACTGGATTTTTTTCCCCTTCATATTTCTAGCTCGCAAATGTGTTCTAAGCATCAATCTAAGTATTTTGGTTGGTCTTTTATATATTTATATATATATATATATATATATATATATATATATATATATATATATATATATATATATATATATATATATATATATATGAAACAAAAGTCTCTCGTCCTTCTACATGTCCCATGAAAGTTAGTGTCTTTCTGCTTTGAGAGGCATCAACTTTTCCACTAAGAGCCTTTCAGGTCCTATGATGCCATGTAGGGGGCTTCTTTTAGCACCTTGTGGTCTTCTTTCATGGTAAACTTTCATAGACAGGATGTTGGTTGATTTCTTTAAACTTCCTCTTCTAGATCATTTTCTCATTAGTGAGATGGTTGCTTTAAATACTTTAAACCCCATAGCAGAACCCATGTGATGCTACAGTCAGACAGTAGTGTGGATCTAACTCTCAATAACTTCCAGGAACACAAATGAAAAAAGGCTCAGGCTTTCTAAAATGCTGAGTAATTTTGTTTTTATGTGCAGCTGATGTGAGACACAGGTTTTAGAATAGAAGCGCGGGTGTCTGAATTTATTCCTGATCAGAAATGATATTATGTTTATATAAAAATAGGAAAAAGTCTCTTTTTTTTTTTTTTGTTTCAACATCGAAAAGATGATCTTGTGTTTACATTACTCTGTTATTGATGCCTTTTATTTTGAAATAATTTCAGTCAGTGCAGTTTGAAGGGTTGGAGAAAAATGAACTTCCCAGTTTACCATTAAAACCGTCCATCACTAAAAGTAATCTTTAATCTATTTCTGCTTCCCAGCTTCTTCTCTCCTAATTCCCACTGAGCCCTTTTGACACACTCATTGCTCCCAGCTGCCCCGGGCGCTTCGCCGCGTCCCGTTTCTACCCATCATGCATCGCTGTGGAGACGAGTTTCCTAAAAAACACCCATTAAACTTCTTGTCATATATTGACTGGCTGTCAGTCCAGCGGGCGCAGTAAACAAGAGCATAGGAAATTGATTGTGCTTTTTACGCAACGTTTCTCATTACGCTGGGAGCTAAATGAGCTGTGCGGGTGTGGGACATGGCTCCAATAACCCAACCACCCACCCCCCGCCCCAGTCCCCTGACTTTTACAGGATTTATGGAGCAATCATTCAGCGAAGGAGGCAGTGGATAAATTCAGAGTTCCTGTAGCTCAGGGAAGCTGTTGTTGACATGCAACAGAATAGAAAGCACAAGTATTGTTAGTGCTCATTAAAAGGAGATCACATTCGCTGGGTAATATGCCCAAGATAATGTGGAAAACTGTCTGGGCTGACTAAGAGACCATAATACATCAAAGAACATTTCGAGGAATCCCAATCACACCCTGTTTCCAGCCCAGTGTTGATGTGAAAAGCTAATGATCCTATAATGTTTTCCTTGTTTGGGTGCCTCTAATCAGGCCTAGTCATTGTATGATTGTGGAAGAAGTTTATATGCTCAATCTGCTCCCGCTTTAGGAGGTGGATCAGCTAATCAGCTCTCGGCTTCCACCATATCCCCTCCTTCAGACGCTCTTTGTCTGATTCTAGATTTAGTAAATTGTAGCTCCTGTTCCTGGCTCCTATCCATCACTTTCTGCGGAGTCAACAGTAAAAACATTATCCAAGGGAAGACTTCCAGACTGCTGTGCTGAATCCACACAGCTTTTAGCCTGGAGGACTTCATTACATGACGGATATCAACATTGAATGATGCTGGTCACATTTGGAGTACAACATTTCAGGGGGAAAAAACTACAAACAAGTTCTACAATGCAGTAAACAGGTAAAGCTAAGTGTTGTAAAACCAAAAACATATGTCTACATATCTACATATACACTCACCGGCCACTTTATTAGGTACCCCATGCTAGTAACAGGTTGGACCCCCTTTTGCCTTCAGAACTGCCTCAATTCTTCGTGGCATAGATTCAACAAGGTGCTGGAAGCATTCCTCAGGGAGTTTGGTCCATATTGACATGATGGCATCACACAGTTGCCGCAGATTTGTCGGCTGCACATCCATGATGCGAATCTCCCGTTCCACCACATCCCAAAGATGCTCTATTGGATTGAAATCTGGTGACTGTGGAGGCCATTTGAGTACAGTGAACTCATTGTCATCTTCAAGAAACCAGTCTGAGATGATTCCAGCTTTATGACATGGCGCATTATCCTGCTGAAAGTAGCCATCAGAAGTTGGGTACATTGTGGTCATAAAGGGATGGACATGGTCAGCAACAATACTCAGGTAGGCTGTGGCGTTGCAACGATGCTCAATTGGTACCAAGGGGCCCAAAGAGTGCCAAGAAAATATTCCCCACACCATGACACCACCAGCCTGAACCGTTGATACAAGGCAGGATGGATCCATGCTTTCATGTTGTAGACGCCAAATTCTGACCCTACCATCCGAATGTCGCAGCGGAAATCGAGACTCATCAGACCAGGCAACGTTTTTCCAATCTTCTATTGTCCAATTTCGATGAGCTTGTGCAAATTGTTGCCTCAGTTTCCTGTTCTTAGCTGAAAGGAGTGGCACCCAGTGTGGTCTTCTGCTGCTGTAGCCCATCTGCCTCAAAGTTCGACGTACTGTGCGTTCAGAGATGCTCTTCTGCCCACCTTGGTTGTAACGGGTGGTTATTTGAGTCACTGTTGCCCTTCTATCAGCTCGAACCAGTCTGGCCATTCTCCTCTGACCTCTGGCATCATCAAAGGCATTTCCGCCCACAGAACTGCCGCTCACTGGATGTTTTTTCTTTTTCGGACTATACTCTGTAAACCCTAGAGATGGTTGTGCGTGAAAATCCCAGTAGATCAGCAGTTTCTGAAATACTCAGACCAGCCCTTTTGGCACCAACAATCATGCCACGTTCAAAGTCACTCAAATCACCTTTCTTCCCCATACTGATGCTCGGTTTGAACTGCAGGAGATTGTCTTGACCATGTCTACATGCCTAAATGCACTGAGTTGCCGCCATGTGATTGGCTGCTTAGAAATTAAGTGTTAACGAGCAGTTGGTCAGGTGTACCTAATAAAGTGGCCGGTGAGTGTATATATGACACACAGAGTAAATGTCCCAAAATACTGGC